CAGTGATGGTGAACCTATGACACGCGTGTCAGAGGTGACACGCGAACTCATTTTTTTTGGTTGATTTTTCTTTGTTAAATGGCATTTAAATATATAAAATAAATATCAAAAATTTAAGTCTTTGTTTTACTATGGTTGCAAATATCAAAAAATTTCTATATGTGACATGGCACCAGAGTTAAGTTAGGGTTTTTCAAAATGCTGACACGCCGAGCTCAAAAGGTTCGCCATCACTGAAATAAATAGATGGGTGTCTGTTATGAATGAGATTGTCAGATCTATCCTTAAACTTGTAGTGGGGAAACTATGTAAATAACTGCAGTTTAATAAAAATGTATATATTAAATGCTTATTTTCTTTGCTGCCTTATGTGTATTTATGTATTTGATCCTCACAGAAATTCTACACCGTGGCCATAGGTCATCAAATCTACAATGCCTATAAGGCATCATTTTAATGTAAATTATAAAATGTACCCCAATATCAGAGATACACAAATGTGAAAAAGAGTGTTACATTTAGCCTTGTCTGGTATTACCTTTATTTTACAGATGAGGAAACAGGCACAGGGAAGGAAGGGTTATTTGCCTGAGAATGCAGAATTAGTCACTGGTGGAGTCAGGACTTGAACCAGGAAGTTTAGCTCTAAAACCTGTGTTCTTATTCACTGCTTCACAATCCTTCCATGAAGAAGGTATAAATGAATTACGCAGGCCAAGTACTATGGGAATATGGATTAATCAAATGGGTGATATTATGAAAGATTTAGAGGAAGTGATTGATTATTGAGTTGGATTTAGAACCATGAGTGCAATCTAAGTAGAGGAGGAGAAATGAAAGTAGTGGTGATTTGGAAGTTCATGCAAATTTTAAGTGGGCATGGTTTAACTTTCCTTCTCAGGTCTCCCAGGGCCTCTTTCCATTACCTCCAAAATTTCAGGTTACCTGTATTTTCCTTACCTGCCAAAAATTCTCTGTACGTCCTATACCTAATAACTTATCTTCAGAGCGGCTGGTGTGGTTTTTTTTAATACCTATAAGACCAAAGCACAAGATGTGAGTTAATGAGTTACTTGATTGCCTCTCAGCTTGAAATGAAACCTTGAGGTATGCATATCTACACAGTTTAGTTATTTTACTCTCTAGCTTTTGCTCTTTCCCATGCTAACCTTTATCAGTCTAAAAAATGATACTTTACTGAATTCGTACCTTTAATTTGTCACAGAATAATTTGTAACTGGTTTTTGAAGATAAGTGAAATTCAATATAAATAACAATTTGGATGGTGTGTCCAGTCTTATCAGAACGTAATGAAATAAACATGATGTATCCTGTCTAGTTAATAAAAGTATCATTGAGTCTATCTAACTGCTTTTTATTCTATGTATCTATTATATATATCTGCCTTGCCTTTATTTTTTTAAAAATATATTTTATTGATTTTTTACAGCGAGGAAGGGAGAGGGATAGAGAATCAGAAACATTGATGAGAGAGGAACATCGATCAGCTGCCTCCTGCACACCCCCCACTGGGGATATGCCCGCAACCAAGGTACATGCCCTTGACTGGAATCGAACCTGGGACCCTTTGGTCTGCAGGCCGACACTCTATCCACTGAGCCAAACCGGTCAGGGCTGCCTTGCCTTTAAAGAAAGCATGCATTTCAAGTTTTTGTAGGAAATTACATTTGCATAATGAAAGAATTTTACAAAAGGAAGCACTTAAAATAGTAATAATAGCTAATATTTATTAAGTGTTTTCTAATGCAGGACACCATTAAAGTACTTTCATGTATTAATGCATTTACTGTCCATGAAATCATAATTACTATTATTTCCCTTGTTTTGTAAATGAGGAAACCAGTGCCTAGAGATGTGCTGGGGCTAGAATTTGAAACCAGGAAGCTTGCCTCCAGATCCTACACTCTTACCTATTATTTTGTACCTCTATAATATTTTTGCAATGTTTGTTAATAGGTAATAGATTGTCTATTTAAAAAACTGTAGAACACTATTTCTTCGAGGTGATATTAAATATAGAACGAAGCATAGTTTTAATTAAGTGTTTGTACCACAGTAATTTTATGAAGATGGTTTGATTATCCTTTATCACTGCAAATTTTAAACTATTATTACTCCCAACCTGCAGGTTTTTAAATGGTGCCATATTGTGTGTGCCTTTAAAAATTTTAATGACAGCCTTAAATTATCTAATTTGAGGATAAAATAATAATGTTTATAACATTGTTTCCCCTTGCTCACCCTCTCCAACCCTTTCTATAATAATAACTTAGTTTCTTGTAAAATATTTGAATGTGTTACAGGTCCAGATTTTATTACCCTCTGACTAAAGAGGGGTATTTAATAGTGATGATTTTATTCTATGTATTAAGTGCATCAACAGAACTTAGGAATTTTTAGTATTCCTTTTCAGGCCCTATTGTGGTTCTTATGAATTATGTGGATGCTTAATAAACTTAAAACTTAATTTAAGTTAATTACAGAAATTTGTGGTGAACCATTAATGACTTTCGAGCAACCCCTACTATCTAAAACACCTCTGAGAATTAGGAAATAACTAAAAATGACTCTAAATAGCAAAAATCCATAGAAAAACTCATATACTTTACTTTTAGAAGTATGTCAGCTCCTTGACACCTCTTAAGTGCATTTTTTAGTGGTTCCCAGCTGACAGTATTACTGAGTTAATTCAAGGTGATATTAGGCTTAAGTAAATATGTACAGTGATGGCAGTGGAGCAAGAGAAAAGATAAACACTAAGCCAGCAGGTGGACATCCCCCGAGGGGTCCCAGACTGCGAGAGGGCACAGGCCGGGCTGAGGGACCCACCCGAGTGCACAAATTTTTGTGTGCCGGGCCTCTAGTATATTCATAAATAGTTACTTAGCAACTATTGTGCACCGTGCACTATTTTAGGAGTGAGGGGATACATAGATGAACACGGTGGTCAAAACAATCCCTGTCCTTATGGAATTTACATATGAATTGGGAGAGACTGACGGTAAATAACGGCATATTAATCGTACCTGTATTAGAGTTTTTCAGGATCATGTGAGGTAATTAATGCACATAAAGTTTTCTATCTAATAATGTGGAATAAATGTGGGCATCTATCATTTTTAGTGTTTGATTCTTGACTTCACATGACTAGTCTTATTTGGCATAAAATTAAATTTATTAGGTATGTTAGTCATCTCAAACATTAATTAGTAATACTTTATTATTGGTGATACTGAAAACATTAATTTTCTCTAATGTTGATGGGTAAAGAGGAGTAGAGAGAGATGACATTTAATCTCATCAATGTATATACTTTTCTTTCCTTTACAACAGCCACCAAAAAAGACACCTAAAAAAGAAAAACCTAAACAGAAAGCCACTTCTAAAAGTAAAAAATCTGTAAAGAATGCTAATGTGAAAAAGGCAGATAGCAGCACCACCAAGAAGAATCAAAACAGTTCCAAAAAAGGTATGTTAGAAATTATACATATTCAGCAACTTTAAAGATATAACATACATGCTGTAATGTACTTTGTAAGTGTTTAGAAAATAGTTAAACTCAGAAGAACATTGGGGGGAAAGTAGTACACCAGTTTTTTATCGTTTATAATTTTTCAAAATTGACATTTGTATGTTTTATAGGTAATTTATAGAGGTGATTTATAACTTTTTAAATCTAGGATCCCTTTGAGAATCTGATGACTGCTTATAGAATTTTTCCCAATATATGTTGAATGGTAATTTACTATGTAAGAAAAATTTTATTCACATGTAATGTCTTACTTTTAGAAAGTGAATCTGAGGATAGTTCAGATGATGAACCTTTAATTAAAAAACTGAAGAAACCTCCTACAGATGAAGAGTTAAAGGAAACAGTAAAGAAATTATTGGCCAATGCTAACTTGGAGGAAGTTACAATGAAACAGATTTGCAAAAAGGTAATTGAACAGGTGCTTGGATATGTTTGCTTTTATTTGAAAAATTCTTTCACCCATTATTCAGTTCGAAGCCAGATTCTTATATGCATTCATTCATTCATTGAACACATACTATTGAACTACTACATGCCAGGCACTCTGTTTACAGGTCTGGGATAACCACATTAAATATAGTAAGTCAAAGCCTCTGCTCTTTGGAATTGTTTCATAAATAACAGTAGAATGTACACAGTGAATAAAGTGCTACATTCCAAACTGCATAGGAAGCTATCTTTTCCTGATATGGAAACTTTTTATTGATGCATCTTTAGATTATGTTAGTTTTACAAAGCAAAATTCCATGGCCCACCTGATTTTCAGTCAGTGTTACTATGATAAAGAGTTGTTATAGATTAGGTACTTAGCTCAGACTTCTGTGACATTCTGATACTTCTCAGGAAATAAAATGATCAAGTCTTGAATATGATTCAGTATTCTACCTCAATATTGGGAAATTTTAGAATTTGGTTTCTTACAGTAAAATGAAATTGAAATTTGAAATGTATCAATTGTGAAATATTCTATACCTTCTAAAGTCATTTATCATTTTTTAATTTATTCGTTCAGTACTCACTGAGTCTCTACTACATATCAGGTCCTGGGATAAATGTTAGAGGTAGAGCTGGAGAAGACATTACTTTGCTTTAGGGAGATATTATTTCACTTTCAAGTCCAGTGGAATTGAAAGACATCCGTTTTGGTAATTAGAGTACAACTAGAGGCCCAATGCACAAAATTAGTGCAAGGGGCTCGGCCCTCACAGCTGCAGCGGCTTCCCTCAGCCCTTGCAGCCCCGGCTTCCTCCAGAAGGTCGTTTGGCTACCCGGTCTAATTAGCATATTACATTTTTATTATTATAGATGTTGAGGGCTCTGTTGGAAGAGTGAAAAAAGGTGCTATAGCACTATCCAACTTGGGATTGAGATGGAGGGGGTTGTGGAAATCTGGAAAAGCACCTTGGAAGAGATCTTAGAGGATTAGCTGTCCCATACAGTTGAGGAACATTGACACATTCACAAAATGTGACAAATAATGACTGAAGAATAGTGATTAGTTTAATTTGTCTGAAGACTAGAGTTGGAAGTAAGTCACAGGTTAGAAAATACTAGTTTTTCAGTTCCTAAGTATGCCATGTTACAGAGTTTGGTTTTCTTCCTGAAACTAACGGAATTGGGAGGTTGGGTAGGTTATTGAGAGCTATTTGGGAGGGTCGTAACTCAATTAGGTTTTATTTTTTAATAGTCATCCCAGACACATCAAGGACAGACTGGTGAAAATAACATGAGAGACATGAAACCCAGTTCATGTCATAGTCAAAGTTATTGGGTTGGCACAATCCAAGTCAGATCTCAAGATAGCCTGGTCAAAAGTAGTATAAGAATTGGGTGCATTAGGGAACAGAATAAAAGGTATACTTTTTGAGAAAAGATGAGTTTTGTTCTAGACATTTTAAGATGGGGGTGCTTAGAACATTAAAGTGAGAGAAATTCTGAACATTGTAGTTCTCCAAATTAGGAGAGAAACCTAGACTAGGATATTGCTGTGAGTTAAAGCCAGAAATATAGATCGGCTGCCCACGGAAGAAGACGAAGGGTGAGAAACGCAAAGGACAGAGTCCTGGAGAGGTAATTTCCACAGAATATAAGAAACTATAGAGTTAGTAGAGGCAAGGCCAGAGAGTGGTGCTATGAAAGCCAAGAGGAAACATTTTCAAGGGCGAGGAGTAGTGCCAGTTAAGAAAAAGGAGTCAGCTTACATGGGGCAGTGGGTATGGAAAAGCAAACATGTCCTTTAAACAAATGAAAACATGCATAGCCTTCCCTAAACTAATGAGGAAGATAGAAATAAAAAGGGAATACTTTTGTTTATTAGCTTGACAAAATATTTATAAAGAATAAAAGTTTTCATGGTTGGCAAGGATAAAGGGAAACATTTTCTCATGCTTTAAGGTGTAAACGCTTTGGAGAACAATTAGGTAATATCTTAAAATTTAAATTGCAAATACCCTTTAACCTAGCAATTCCATTTCTAGGTGTCTATCCTAAAGACATAGTCACATCTGCACAAAATGATTACAATAATGTTCAACATGTCTAATACTGAAAAGTCAGAAACCAGGTAAATGGCCTTCCATAGGGAAATTATTAAATTGATAACCACATCCATATTTTTGGAATACTTTGTAGCAGTTGAAAAGAACATGGAAAAATTTTTCAGGTATTGTCAACATTTTAAAACATAGAATACTATCCCATTTATCTAAATGCAGAAAGACTATATTGCCATTGTGTATATACATTTGTGTATAAACTCATTTTTCAAGGAAGATCTGGAAGAATACACAGCAAACTGATAACTGGTTTCCTCTGAGGAGAGGGGGGATGAGGGCAGAGTAGAGGGAAACTAGTTCTGTCCCTTTGAATGTTTGTTTTTTGAGTACATTCATGTAATTTTAAACAGGGATCATTACTATGGAGAGGTCAAGTGAGAAGGACTTGAGGGTTTTTTGGACTGGACAATTAAGGAGATAATTGTTCACATAAGAGCAATTTAAATGGGTGGTAAATGAATAATGAGGAAAGTGAATGAATTTAAGCTTCTGTTTGAAGCAGCTTGCCTAAGGAGGGAAATAGATGGGGGAAGTGGATGCAAGTTAGTAAAATACTAAAGTCAGGGAGAGAAAGTGCAAGCATGTGTTAGGCTACTGGGAATGAAGCAGCTGAAGACTCAGGAGAGGAGGGATGGCTGTCTGCAGAGGGACAGGAAATGGGGAGTTGAACCTAGACACGGATAAACTGGAGGGAAAGAGGTATGTCAGAAAGTTGAAAAATTAGTAATACTACTTGGCTGAGAACAGGAATGTGGGACACTTGTGTAAGTGGATGAAATTGCCATTGACAGGAGGAATGAAAGGAACTGCTTAGAAATACTTGGGATTGCTGGGGAAGCTCTGACATTGAATACCATGGACTTAATAGTAAAACAGGATCACTCTTCAAAGTGGTTACATGTTCCCACAGCAATCTTTCCTCTGGGCCTAACCATAGGAAAGTTGGTAGACCAATTCAGGTTTGGAGGTTTGTAGAGAATGAACAAAAGACAGAGGAGTGTAAATGATTGACTATATTTTCAGGGATTGGCAAACTAGCTTGTGGGCCAATTCTATCTTACTGTTTTTGTATTGTAACCCAGCCATGCCCATTCATTTAAGTATTATTGCCTATGGCAGCTTTCACGCTACAATGACATAGTTCAGCGGTTCTCAACCTGTGGGTTGCGACCCCTTTGGGGGTCGAACGACCCTTTCACAGGGGTCGCCTAAATACATCCTGCATATCAGATATTTGCATTACGATTCGTAACAGTAGCAAAATTACAGTTATGAAGTAGCAACGAGAATAATTTTATGGTTGGGGTCACCACAACATGAGGAACTGTATTAAAGGGTCGCAGCATTAGGAAGGTTGAGAACCTCTGACATAGTTGATGTGACAGAAAATGTATTCCTGGAAAAGCTGAAAAGATTTATTAATCTGGTCCTTTAAAGAAAAGTGTGCTGACCCGAACTACACCACAGGAGTGAAGCTGGCAGGGTGCATATGGAGTCAGGACTAGAAGTCATTGTAAAGTCAAGCAGCAGGTATCCTATGTAATAAAAGGCCAGTGACCATAACCGTGTAACAACCAGAACGACCGATCGACCAGTCGCTATGAAGTGCATTGACCACCTCTCGGTCCCTCCCCGCTGGCCCACAGGCTCTGATCGCCTGATGGCAAATGGGTAACCGGGGTGGGCAGCGGCGGGGCGGGACTGGGGACTGGCAAGTGGGCAGAAAATGGCCCTGATCGCAGGCTAGGCCTAGGGACCCTACCTGCACACGATTTCTTGCTCTGGGCCTCTAGTCAGGTTGATAAAGGGGAAATTTAGAGTAAGATTTTAGGAGTAGAGGACTCCTGAGACCCGCTGGGTCTGAGTGATTCAGCTTTGAGGAGGGGATTGCACAATGAGTAAAGTACAATAGAGTTCAAGTTGAATTATAAGTAATTGGATGATACAACAGAATAAAATGAGAATATCTCTGAAGAATATCTGACCTGCCAAAATAAAGAATTCAGTTCTACCTAGATGTTTTCCTCACCTATGTTTATTGTTAATGCAACTGGTATTTCCAGTTTAAAACAGAATCCTTGCATGCTACTTTACTTTCTCTATATAGAGTATTATTAAAACTCATTTGCAAGGGAATTCTCTAGTGAACCAGAGTACTATTAGAACATGCATGCAGCTATTTATATATACATTTCTTTTTTGTCCAAAGATAGAGCATTATTGGATTTTTAACATAGTTTTTCCTTTTCACTACAGGTATATGAAAATTACCCTGCTTATGATTTAACTGAAAGAAAAGGTTTCATAAAAACAACTGTTAAAGAGGTAAATATATTCACCGTTTCTAACTTTGATCATTTGGAACATAAGAGACAAAGAAATGTATATCAGAATTGCATATTTTTCAAACTATCTGACTAAATAACACATTTGATCCTCAGATTTCCTTAAAATAGATGGGGAAAGATATTTCTTTTTATTCCCATTTTAGAGCTTAAAAAATAAAGCCTGCACATTAGTGACAACACCAGACCTTGGATGAGGACGATACAGGTTCTGTCTACTGGGCATCTCAGAGCACTCACACAACTACTTGAGCACATGTTTCTGTCCACCAGTCAAAGGCAGGAGAAAACCAACAATAGCTATAGTTTATATGGATCCCAACTGATTTCCCAAGGTCACAATAGTAAAATAAAGTTTAAAAATGAAATAAAGTTTTATGCCTCATGTATACCTAATATTGTATGTTTGGTATGGGAAAATAATGTTTCTCTTTTCATTACAGCTAATTTCTTGAGATAGAGGACAGAGACAGATGACTTGTTCCATGGATTTAAAGATTTCATTTATACCATTATACCAGCAAAGAGAATGTATTTCCTTTTCTAAATCCTTGCAAGCATTGTGTTGGTAGAATTTACTGCTGACTTTTTTATCTTGGGTGTTAACGTAAATTTGCATTTGCCATTTTTTAAATTGCATTTCTATGCAGTTTTTAGTTTAAAATTTTGCATGGCAGTAATTGTTCCTTGCTTTTATAGTTGCATTTTGTACATTTTGGATTTCTTTATATAAGGTCATAGATTCTTAAACTGTTATAGTTTTTAGTGCAGTTAATATTAGCTTAAGACATTTTTAATTGACTAGGACAGAAACTATTATAACTGGCATTTATACATGCAGAAACCAATGCAGTATTTAGTATATGACATATTTTGAATACAGCACATTTGTCGGTGTAAAAACTCAATGGCAGTGTGTTCATCATATTAAGAATGTGCAAGCTTTAGCTGTCCAGATGACTAAATTGGAACTTTTCTCCTGCATGTATAGATATGTCAATTTGTCAGCATGACGAAAGTGACAGATGTTATTTTTGTATTTTCAAAAACAAATTGGTTGTATATAGTTTTTTTTATTTCTTTTGTGAGATCAATTTTTAAACCCATATAGATAGGTATCTTTACAGTTATAAACTGAAATGTCAGTGTTCAGCCAGATGGTATTACAGAGCAGTGGAAGTCAGAATTCAGTAAAGAAAACACTGAAGGACACAAACAGATAGTTCTCTACTTTGAAAGTGTCATCGATTTATAGTTTTAGTTTCAATTCTGCAACCATTGTCTGTAGACACATTTTCTATTAAGGATAAACCAAAATCAACAGAACTTCAAAAATTTAGGGAAAATTGGGATTAAGTACAAGAACATTTGGCTTATAATAAATGACTGATTTTTCATTAACTGCTTTTGCCCATATAAAATGCTGATATTTAGAGGAAACCTGGACCTTTATAATTATGACAAAAAGTACAAGGTGTAATGCCAGAATTGTGTAGGCAGTAGTATCTCTGACAAAGTATTTCTCAAAAATGGTAAGACTTATTTTTAACATTAAAGAAATTTAATGTGTCTGTAGAATTATAACTATTGGGTTTTAAATTTTGGCTAATCAGGATTCTAGGTGATTCAACATATGGGCCACCCCTGAATGAAACTAATTTGTCTTTTAAATTGACTGTCTTAATCAGTTTATTTTTATTAAATAATTTCTGAATTTTAAAACATGCTGCTTGAGAGAATTAGGCCTTTTGATAAACCAGTTGAGTATTTAAAATAAAAATATCTTTGCATCATAGAACAGAAATATGTAAACATCTGTTGATTGTTAACAGGTATTTTCACAGTTTTGATTTGTTTCTTGATAAAGTTGTTAAGATGTTAGGAAAAGATACACTTAATAAACGAATGAAATAAACTAAGACCTACGAATTGGCCTTTGATTTTAAATATAATTTGTTCCTATAAACATCTATATCAGTGATTCCCAAAGTGGGCGCTACCGCCCCCCGGTGGGCGCTGCAGCGATCCAGGGGGGCGGTGATGGCCACAGGTGCATTTGGGGGCGATGAGTAACTGCTATTAAAATTTTAAAAAAATTAATTTCCAGGGGCTGAGTAATATTTTTTCTGGAAAGGGGGCGGTAGGCCAAATAAGTTTGGGAACCACTGATTTATATATATAAAAGCCTAAGCTACCATCACGACCGAACAGGCTGTGTGGGGCGACCAGGCTGGCAGGGGGGTTAGTGAGGGATGACCAAATGACTGAGCAGCAGGCTGCAAAGATGGTGGCGCCCACAGCCAATAAGGAGGGAATATGTTAATTGACTGTCACACCCTCAAAAGTGGTGGCACCCACAGCCAATAAGGAGGGAATATGTTAATTGACTGTCACACCCCCCACAGCCACAAGATGGCCAGCAGGGGAGGGTAGTTAGGGGTGACCGGGCTGGCAGGGGAGGGCAGTTGGCGGGGACCAGGCCAGCAGGGGAGGGTAGTTGGGGGCGATCGGGCCAGCAGGGGAGGGCAGTTGGGGGTGATCGGGCCAGCAGGGGAGAGCAGTTAGGTGTCGATCAGGCTGGCAGGGGAGTGGTTAGGGGGCAATCAGGCAGGCAGGCGAGCGGTTGGGAGCCAGCAGTCCAGGATTGTGAGAGGGATCCCAGATTGGAGAGGGTGCAGGCTGGGCTGAGGGACCAACCACCACCACCACCACCACCACCACCCCCAGTGCATGAATTTTGTGCACCAGGCCTCTAGTTGTCAATAAAAGTAATGAACAATGATTTTGTCTTCACATTTGATATCTTAAGTTAGAGGATTTTATAGCATCTACCCTCTATATGAGAATTTCAGAACATGGGTGTTTAAATGGATTTAGCCCTGGAGGCAAGTAATGAGGATTTTAAAAAGTATATACATTTACCATACTTAATATTAAGTAGGTTTTTCCTTTGTTTGTAGCACAAGTTTAAGCGCCCAGAGACTAAAGTAATAATTTACTGTGAGCCATTTCAAATGTAAAATATTTTGCATTTATCACTTAAATTATAGCCTATGTAATTTAGAGTGTTGTGCAGTGATTAACTAAGTACACTACAAAGAAATCACCTGGGAAAACCAGAAATGATTTACAAAAGTAAGTTGATCAAGGTTAATAGTTGTTTACTTTATGAGCATTTAATTGAAAGGGGATATAGAGTAATACCTATGATCTAAAAGGTCTAAACAGGGTTTGGAGGTGAAGGGATTGAGTTGGTGGGTGTAAAGTTCGGGATGAAAATGTAACTATTTAATAAAGTGTGTTTTCATTACTACAATGCAAAGTGTATTTGAAAAAGTCTAGTTTTTATTAAGTAGTTTTACACAACAAGCTGTTCACAATCTGCAGTTAAAACATATATTCACAGCTACTCAATTACAAAATCTTCAGAACAATGAAAAACATATTCAGAGTAACTCAAGAATTTAAAGGAAAGTACCTTAAAGAACAAAATGTCAGATGTAGACACTTGAGACAAGAAATGAGGATTTTTTTTATATACATTTACCATACTTTATTACGTAGGTTTTTCCTTTGTAGCACAAGTTTAAGTGCCCAGAGACTAAAGTAATAATTTACTGTGAACCATTTCAAACGTAAAATATTTTGCATTTATCACTTAACACATGCTATTTTTTAAATGTTTAACTTTAAAGCAGAACACTCCCCAAATAGTACCGTCTCATCAGATAAATATCAACATTTCCCTGTGTTAACATAGAAACTAATATCCTTTATTTTTCTTTATTTGTATCATACTTTGATGGGAGTGGAAGTGTGTCTGAGTTCACCAAAGATACCATACATTCTTTGCATATGATACTTTGTATTTATAAGCTGACTCTAAATTTAAAAAATACCTAATATTTTGAAAAGTGGCTTTAAAATCATTTTGCATCTCCTTTGTTTTTGAGTCCTTTTTTAAAGCAGACCAACAATATAATTGAAAAACCTGTTCAGAGACTTTAAAACAAAAGAACTTGTTATCCATGATTTTACCTGTAAACTGAAATTTCTTGGCAAGTTAAGCATCCTGAAGACCCTGAAACCAACGTCTATTTTTAATGACATTTTTTTGGTCATGAGTGAAAAAAGGAGAAAGGAAGTATTTGCCATGTTCTCAGGCTCTTACGATATGGCTTATAAAATATGTAATATTTATCAGGACTTCACATTTTCCTGCAGTTTTCCAGTGGACCTGCCTATGGAATACTGAAAACATAATCCTATAAAAAAGACAGTGCGAAGAGGTTATTATTCTGACAAGATATTTTTGCTAGTAGTTGCCAAAATTAAGGCTATTTAAAGTGTGCCATCTGCCCAAACTTGGCTCAAAGAAAAATAGCCCTATAGTTTGTCTAGTATCAAGACCACACTATCTCTACCCCATTTTCAATGGTACAAACCTGGTACTGCTTAAGAATGGAAAATTTTGCTCTTTTGCCAATGAGTGCACAAATCTAAAATGTTTTATCACAAAAGATACCTGAATTTAAATTTCTTTTGAAAACCCAATGGGAAGTATAATATAAAGTAGTCTAGAAGCTTCATTACTTTTGATTGAAGAGTTTGTGCTGTATCCAAAAAGGAAAGATTTCTATCTAAATTTTAAGTGAAAGCTCAATATTGGAGCTATACAAAAATCTTAAGGCTCATTGGCAAAGGTAGTGATAAGTTGTCACAGAAGAAAAATACATGGCTCTATTTTTTTTAATGATTTCTGCTTGATTTTTCAATTTGTGAAAATTGATCAGCTAAACAAAAAGTCAGATTTAAGGGACTCTCCAACCATGGAAGAATCATATCCAAAGAATGAAAGCAGATAAAAGAGGTCTTAATTTAAGCTTATATTCTACCTTTTTCTGAAATCCAGAAGATTTAGCATTAGACTTGTGGAAAACGTAATAAAATATAAGTGCTTATAAATTGGTTCTTAGGGCTAATGCTTTCAGAGTGGTGACATGGGTTTACATTATCAAACCACCTTAGAAACATTTTCAGTTTTGTTATCCAGAGAGGTTTTTGTTTGATTTTATGAAAGTGAGGTTAACGTGTTTCAAACTTTCCCATTTGAGGTACAGAAGAAAGCTGGGTCCAGACAAAATCCATTTAAAATGCTGCAATCTTGCTTGCTTCTCGAACACCACTCAAATATGCCCCTGTAACCGTTTGTGGAAAATGTCTGTTTGTTGCCTGTAAAAAATAATTGCATAATTTGAGGTCACGTATAAGGAATTCAGATGATAATCAAGTGATAACAAGCTTATGCCTTCTGATCCTCTTAAAGACTAGTGCCACTCCTGTGTGCTGATGCTAACAGTACTCACCCATCTAGCACTTGACCTTTTCTGGTGATCTTCCATGCCTTACCAAATGCATCCATTCTACAGTGTATTCAGCACTCCTGTGAAGTACTATTTGGCATTCAATAAGGTACTTACATATGCCAAGTACTGGAATTAAGTACAGTGAATAAGATCCAGTGCTTCTCATCAGACAAGTAATCTAGCTCTTAAGTCAGCAATAAATGAAATAAGCACAGAAATTGAATCACATTTAATCCACAGTTGATATTTTGCTAGATTGGTGGAACAAAAGGATGGAGTTGAGGTACTCAAAGGACCAGTAAAACAGGAAGGGAAAAGTCAAAAGGTTGAGGGGCTGTCAATGGGACAACCTCACTTTGAAGGAGTTTGTAGTGGGAACAATAAGCAAACCTAGAACAGGAAAGTAGGCCTGGATAATGGCTACTTTCCCATAGAGTGAGCAGGTCTTGGAAAGTGGATAAGAAACAGACGAAGTTCCGTGTGAACTACTTTAGGTTCCATGTCACCTAAATTGGCTGGGGTGAAAGGGATGTGACATGGAACCTAGAAGCGACAAAAACTCCAATAAATGGGTCATATCAGCAGGAATACAATTACTAGTAGGAGGAGAGAGTGACTGACAGAAACCAGAAAGAAATGGGTTTTATAGAAAGTACCTAGCAAAGGAAAGCAAAAAAGGTTCTACATCCTGCTCATTAGGGCACATGAGCATAATAATGGCCATCACCTGGAAGCAGCTGACAGTGTAGCCAGGTATGCAGCTGTTATACCCTGTTCCTACAAAGTTGGCTCTTCACAGGCCAAGGACTAGTCAAAGATCACTGGTTTCTAAATGATGGTCTTTTGTGATCATTTAAAAATCATTAGAAAAAGTAAAAACACTAACTCTATTGTAGATAAAGCTAGAGATCTTGATAATTCCAAACTATAACATACAAAGAATGAAAGCAGATAAAAGAGTGCTGAGAAATCGCTTTGCCAAGTTTGGGAGATAGGATAGGATGAAGTGATAACAAAAGCAAGCCAGTTCACCCCAAAGAATCCTTAAAAAGTCTCAGCCACTGAGAGCACCAGGAACCATGGAGGCAGAGAGGTTGGGCATAAGTGAAAATGGAATTAAACGCTATGAAGAGCATTCTGGCCCCTCCCCAGGTTTCCCACTGCCACCTGCTATACCCCACACCTCCCAGGGTATCAGAGAGGGCAGAGGTAAGGTGCCAAACAAAAGGGGGATTAAGTGAAGTCTTCATGACTAAGGCTTCAGGCTCTCAGAATGCAGGAGCTGAGCTTTCACCTACATGTTCCCACAGAAAAGCTATAGATACTGATTTGAGGATTCAACCCTCGTTGATGAGCTTTGCTAGAGCTTTCGATTGTTTTTTTAAAAATGACTCAAAGCCCTGGCCAGTGGAGCTCAGTTGGGTGTTGTCCTGTGTACTAAAATGTGGTCAGTTCAATTCCAAGGCACATACCAGGTTTGCAGGCTCAGTACCTGGTAGTGGGCATGCAGGAGGCAGCCAGTTGATGTTTTGCTTTCACGTCAATGATTCTCCCT